AACACAGACAGCCTCTCGGCAACATGAGTTTTTGCTGGCTGTAGCAGCGCTATAGCGCTGCACAGCAAAAACGCATAGAAACGCATATCGGCGAGAAGTTGACTGTAAGTGTTCGCATTTTTGCTGCCACCTTTAATTCGGCGACTGGTAAAACAAGAAGCTGAAATTTCTGTAGCATGTCCCTATCCTTGCGCAGTGCTTCATCCCTGAAATCATCGTTCTCCTCTGCCTGGGCCCAACGTGAGGAGCGCTTAAAAAATTTATGCAGTTTTCCGGTAAAAAAGCGATTCCAGTAACCATACAAATTAGGAAGCCGAACTTCGGGGGAGCACTTTTCCATAAGTACCAACAAGTCAAATTTACGACTTTCCAGTGGCTCGCAAAATGTCAGTCAGAGAAAAAAGCTGAGTAGGCTCCTCTAATTTTGCGAAAGTATTCGTTCCACATTTTTTTGCACGTATCAAACCATTTCTGGGAGAATAGCGTTTCATGATAATAAAACATTTGGAATTCATGACAAGCACAAGTGGATCTCGCGTGAGCAGGTTGTAATTCCAGTAATAGCGCTGGCGGCACCCGTACTTTTATGAAGATATTTACTGCTCATGGGCATAAATGTATAAAACGTAAAACCAGTATGCATAAAACTGCATGAAACTGGCAACTGAGAAACATAAAGCAAGCGGCGAAGTGAAAAATCACGACAAAAATAAAAATAATTGGCCAACACACGGGCTGCCCGTGCGAAGATGCGTTTTTTGCACATTTCCCCGTAGTTTTTGTCGCTACCGGCACCGGTTTTTTCGGTAAATACTTCTAGCTAAACAACTTAAGACTAGCCGCCAGAACTGCCAGGAAACATCCCCTTAAAATTTCAGCTTTCTAGCTTTTCTGACTCCTGAGTTAGCAATTTAATGGAAGAAAACTTTCACGGACCCGCACGTGGGTAATACGTTTACCCAGGGGCTGGGTTTGAGCTCATTAATATCTACTTGAATGGAGAACATCACCCTAAGATTTCAGCCTCCCAGCATTTCTGGTTCCCGAGTTATGAACTTACCCCTAAAAAATTTTGGCGGGCCCGTACGCAGGTACCACGCTTACCCGGGAGCTGGGTTTGAATTCAATGAGACTTACTTGGACGGGGAACATTCTCTTAAAATTCAGTCTCCAGCACTTCTGATTCTCGAGTTAGCCGCTTACCCGCAAAAAACTTTGGCGGGCTCTTATGTGGGTACCACTGGGGTAAAGACCGCCCACTTTGAGGACGAGGCCCGTGCGTTCATCTAAATTAAGTTCCCAAAGTTTCAGCCCCGTAGCTTTTGTAGGTCTCGAGATTAAAAATCGGCACAAAGGTCCTGCGCGCACACAGACACACACACATAGACAACCTCTCGTCGATATGCGTTTTCCGCACTGCATAGCTGCAAGAAACGCATAAGAATATACAAAACAAATTGCTTTACAGACAGCTATTTTTTGCAAACATCTCCACATTACGGTTCAAATTCACTGGTCGCAAAAACCCAAAGAAATCCAAAGATATCCAAAGGAAATAAATCTAAAACTTTTGAGAACCGTACCGCACCACATCTTGCAAAGTCTTGGATCTGCGCTTAACACGGCGTCATTTCAGTAACTTCTAAATTACTGAAATGACGCCGTGTTAAGCGCAGATCCAAGACTTTGCAAGATGTTATCGGCAAGCATTTTGTGTACTACTTCTTCGAGATGCCGTTTCGGGTCTAGCTTTCCAACATTCTTCAATGCCAGCTGTTCCTCCGTCATTTCTTCTTGCTCCTCCAAATCCTAAAAAAATCGCAAAAAAAAAAAAAAAATAAATCGCCCTTCTTGGCTCAAAAGTCATGGCAACCAAATTGAAACCCTGTGCATCAGACAGATCTTTAACTTTGCTTTTTCGATTCAAGCTTCTTGTTTCAAGATTTTCCTGCTCCTCCAAATCCTAAAAAAAAATCGCCAGTAACGAAATATCC